ATCACTTCTAGTTCAAATTGTCAATATATTTATTTATTGTTATAGACTAGATAGGTGCATGCTTATATAGAGTACAGCATCATAGCACAAAACCTGCATGTATGCCTCATTCTAGTCATTGGGTTATTCTAAGATGGTATCACGCTATGTTAGGTCCCCCCTCTCCGCTTACGCTTCCGCCCCTAGCCCTAGCCCTAGCTCTAGCCCGTGTCCTAGCCGTGCCCTAGCCCTAGCCGTGCCGCGCCGTGCTCGAGTTGCGCCCACACCCTTGCCCTAGCCCTAGCCGCGCCGGAGCCGCGTCCGCGCCGCCTGCGCCGTCCGCGCCGTCCGAGCCTGAGCCCGCGGCGTCCACGCCGTCCGCGCTGCGCTCGCGCCAGCCGCATCGTCCGTGCCGTCCGCGCACGCGCCGGCCCCGCCACTCCGCACCAGCCTTGCCACTTCAAGCCGGCCCCGCCACTTCACGCCGACCCCTGACGCCATGCCGCGCCACCGCGCGGCCGAGCCCGCCGCGACGCGACGCCGAGCCGCCGCGCCGCTGAGCCATCGATTCGCCGACCCGCCGAGTCGCCGCGCCGCTGAGTCGCCGAGCTGCCGAGCCGCCGAGAAGCCGCGCCGCCGTGTCGATGTGCCGCCCCGAATCGCTGGCCCAAGTTCCCTCATCTTCACCGCCGCTCTCCACAGCCCCCCACCACTCTCTCCTCCTCCTCTCGCGGCGGTCCGCCGCTGCAGCCGTGGCGATGGCGGACGCTGTTCTCCGCCTGGACGCGGAGGGTCGAGCGATAGACTTTGAGGCATGGCTCGCCGACCTCCGCCACTCGCTGAGGGGACCGCGCCAGGATGGTCAGTCTCTGGCCGCCTCAGCCGCCGCCGCCGTCGCAGCAGCAGCAGCCGTTCGTGGCCTCTGGGGGTGCTGGCGTTGAGGAGGGTGCTAGTCATGGGGTTCCTGTCGTGGCTTGTCCTGGCGGGCTTGGGGGTGGCACCGGTGCTGGAGAGAGTTATGCCTCCCCGGTCCTGCCTTCTTTGTTATCGTGCCTCCCCCTCTGTCTGACTGCCTTCGTGCTGCTCGTTCTCTTGTTCCTCGGGTCCTTGCCTGCCTTGTTACAGTGACGGGAATAAATGGGATTATTAATCCATTGCAGTACATAGACTGTGTGATTTTGGCATAATATGTTGTCATAACCCAACCATAACAGATTGCATGTTGTGCCCCTTGACCTCAGCTACTCAATGCACTTGGGTGTTGTAACTTTTATCGAGTTTATTGTAAAGAGCACAATAATAAGCGATCGTTACTCGAAGCGGACACTTTAGGCCAACATCGAGTCCAGATCTATTTCGTGCCTGCATTAACGCGACCTCGCAACCTACGCTTCCATTTTTCTCTCGATAGTCCAGCGGCAACTACGCCAAGCCCCTAGCGACGATGCGACCGCTTCTTTCAAGCCAGAAATATAGGATCGCGACATTGCTTCGACAGGGCCAGAGTCTTCGACAAATCGCTAAAGCATTGGGAATAGGAAAGAGCGCGGTACAGAAATATGCACACGAAGCCTCCCAGCGCTCAAGCAGCCTAGCGGTCAGGCCGATTGTTCCTAGGAACGGCCGACCGTGCGTACTCTCGGTTCGTGATAGGCGCTCGCTGGTCCGAGCCGTCACTTCTGGCCATGCGAAGACTAGCATAGAAGCCGCGAAACTTCTAGAATCAGAGCGCGGCTTCAAGATATGCCCTAGAACCGTGCGCAGCGCCCTGAAGAACTCCGGTTTAGTAGCCGTACAGAAACCAAATAAGCCGCGACTTTCTGCCCGAAATATCAGAGACCGCCTCGATTTCGCCAAGGCGCACCTTGACTGGACCATTGAAGACTGGAAGCGGGTGATCTGGTCCGACGAGACCAAGATCAACTGCTTATCCAGTGATGGCTGCAAGTACGCGTGGATACGCGACGGGGCGGCCCTGCAAGGTCACCAAATTCAGCAAACCGTCAAGCATGGGGGCGGGTCATTGATGGTATGGGGGTGCATGACTGATGATGGCCTGGGCTATATGTGTAAGATTGACGGCCGCATGGATGGGGAGCTGTACAGAAGCATATTGCATGATGAGCTTGCTCAAACTATCGATTTCTATAGTCTAACCCCTTCGGATGTAATTTTCCAGCATGACAACGACCCCAAGCACAAGAGTCGCCTTGTGCAAGCATGGCTGGCTGAGCAGCCGTATGCAGTCCTCAAGTGGCCTTCCTCCTCCCCTGATCTCAACTCCATAGAGCACCTGTGGGCACACCTCAAAAGGGAGCTTGCCAAGTATGAGCAACCCCCCACAGGGATGCTCCAGACTTGGGAGCGGGTGCAAGAGACATGGGATGGGATTGGGGCGGATGTGTGCAGGGGCCTCATCAACAGTATGCCTAGGAGGGTGAAGGCATTGGTTAGGGCTAAGGAGAGGTGGACTAGGTACTGATTTTGGATTGATGAATACTTTCTTCAAATCTGGTCAAAACTGTCCGAATAGTACTTGGTGAATGTGGTTGTTGGTTTGGCATTATAAACATGCCCTTCCAGGCTGTATGACATGTGCTCTTCTTGCTCAGGAGGCAGTATACTAGTATATTAAAGCCCCCTATTTTTAAGACTCTGTATAAAAAATACATAAGCATTTTAACCTCTCAAAGGGTCTGGATATGGACAGTTTCTTCCGTCACTGTATCGACCCGTCTGTTCCTCTCTCGAGTTTTGACGGTCTTTTCGCTGCTGTCGCTGACTTTGCCTCTACCCAACGCCTTGAATACGCCACCGCTCTGGTCTCTGACCCTGTTCGTCCTCCGTCCATCGGGGGTGCCCTTGGCAGTGACGTCCTAGTGGACAAGCAGTACGAGCTTGCTTTCTTGTCCGAGGCTGTTCCCCATCTCTGCTCCATGCTGCTAGTCCCTGAGGGTGACCCACACGCCCTTGATCGCGACCCCTCGCACTTACGCTGAGGCAACCTCAGCACCCTAGGCCCTCTGTGGATAGCTGCCATGGAGCACGAGATGGCATCTTGGAGATCCACCGGCACCTACGTCGACGTTGTTCCGCCACATGGGGTGAATGCAGTCGATGGCGGGTGGCTCTTCAAGGTGAAGCGCCCCCCTAGAGAGCCGCTTATCTTCAAGGCGCGCTACGTTGCTAGAGGCTTCGGTCAGCGAGAGGGGGTGGACTTCTTTCAGACCTTCACCCCGACCAGAAGATGACTACTCTTCGAGCGCTGCTACACGTAGTAGCACAGCATGACTACGAGCTCTACTCCCTAGACTTCTCCACTGCTTTTCTTCAGGGCAGCCTACATGAGCAGGTCTACGACTTGCGACAGGCGCCCCGTGAGTGGCACGACACGCTGCGTGCTACACTAGCTCACCTGCAGTTCTTTCCGTCCTCTGCTGACCCTTCGCTCTTCGTTCGTGCTGGCCAGACTCCGTTCTACATCCTTGTTTACGCAGACGACCTGGTCTTCACTACTGCAGACAGAGACGCACTGGCCTCCGTGAAGGCCGAGCTGCTGAGGAGACACACTTGCACTGACCTAGGAGAGCTGCGCCGCTACCTTGACCTGCAGATCTCCAGGGACAGAGCAGCGCGCACCATCACTCTCACACAGTCACCCTTGGTGCGCCAGGTCCTTCAGAGGTTCGGTCTTCAGTTCTCCTCCGCACAGCCCACACCTCTGCCAGTAGGCCACATGCTCTCGGCTCCAGTTCGTGAGGAGTCAGTAGAGCCCAGTGGTCCTTACGCAGAGCTGGTGGGTTGCCTCATGTAACTGATGACTTGCACTCGTCCAGATCTCGCATACCCTCTCAGCATCCTGGCTCGCTTTGTGGTCATAGGCAGACACCGACCACAGCACTGGTCTGCCGCTAAGAGGGTTTTGCGTTATCTAGCGAGTACATCGGGCATGGGGCTAGCGCTCGAAGGATGCAGACCAGTGGTCCTTACATGGCACACGAATGTTTTTTGGGCAGACGACGCTGAGACCCTCAAGTCCTTCCAGGGCTACTTCTTTAGCCTTGGTTCGGGTGCCATCTCGTGGAGGTCCACTCGCTCAGCTGTGAGGCTGAGATCTACGCCGGTGCCATGACGACACAGAAGCTCCGCTGGCTGACGTTCTTGCTCGCCGACTTAGGTGAGCAGCCTAGCTCTGCCCCGGTTCTGTACGCTGACAACAGGGCCATGATCCCCCTGTGTCAAGAGCCTCGACTTGAGGGCAGAGCGAAGCACATCCAGCGTGAGCTGCAGCAGGGACGATAGGCCCGCGTAGTACACTTGGCCTTCGGTGCCAACACAGCTGATATCTTTACTAAGGCGCTTGCGCCTAAAGATCATGAGCGGTACTGCTTGCAGCTTGGTCTAGTTCCTGTAGATTCTCACTTGCTAGGACTTTGATTGTGTTCTCCTCTTTATATATATCTTTCAGACTGGCCTTGTGGCTCCTCTTCTAGTGGCCGGACAAGTAGTGCTGCCCTGGCTTGCTCCTATCTTGTTTGTACTCTTGCTGACTGGTCTTCGGACCCCTGTCTCAGATGTTGGACGAGTAGTTCCACCCTGAGTTGTGTGCTTCTTGCTCAGCACTACCCCTTATCTAGCCTAGGGAGTGTGTCAACTTATACATACATTTTGCATGTAGAAGTTATAGGCTAGAATGGGTGTCTGTTCTTAGGTAGTACAACCCAACCCTATATCTTGCTTGTTCTCTCTTGTTTCTAGACATTCTAGTATTCTAACAGTTATGTAAAATTCAATGTCAGAAAAACGGGTGCTCTCAAAAATGCACCGTATCATAAGCTCCCCCCTGTATTAACCACCCATGGAGTGACTATTTCGGCAGGTGTTATATACGGGGGATTACGGTAGCAATGTACGCCTTACTAACTAAAACCCGTGATATGGAAATACCATTCCCTTACACAAGCCTAAACACACCCTATAGAAACAAAAATCTGTGCATATGCCAAAAGAAACACGTACCTCTTATAAAGTGGAATGGGAATGTCAACAATCAGCAAGAGGTAAAGCATATCCTATGTGATGCTACAGTGAGTTGTTGAGTGACTCCATAAAGAGTCGGAATGTTTATTTTGAGACGTCTCAAAATAAACCTTCAATCATGTGGCTATAGTGAGCTGTTCAGCGACTCCATAAAGAGTCGGAATGTCGCATCACGTACGTGAGCATGCATGCTTTGTGGTGTGCATCGTCTGCTATGGCAGTGCTGGTGCTGCTTCTGTTGTTTTTATGGAGCTGAATTCCGATGCTGAAGTGGTGCTGCTGGTGCTGCTGCTGCTGCTGATGCTGCTGGTGCTGCTGCTGCTTCTGATACTGCTAATGCTGCTGGTGCTGCTGGTGCTTCTGGTGTTGCTGGTGCTGCTGGTGCTGCTTTTGTGCTTCAGCTGGTGATGCTGGTGCTGCTGATGCATGAGTTCTATAAAAGCTGGCCACTGCTTTTAGTGCACCTCTCTTTTTTCAACTTCCCTTGCTTCTGCTGTTGCTTCTTTTTCTGCCCCCTGCTGCTGCTGCTTCTGCCTGCTGCTGCTGCTGCTGCTGCTGCCTCTCATGGACAAGTGTCGATTCGAAATCTGCCTGCATTTTGCAGACACATTGACATCAAGCTTGGAGGAGGCGCTATATCAAAATTGCTTCAGCTTCCGCTCCCCAGCCTCAGCTCCCCAGCCTCAGATCCCCAGCCTCAGCTCCCCAGCCTCAGCTCCCCAGCCTCAGCTCCCCAGCCTCAGCTCCCCAGCCTCGGCTCCCCAGCCTCGGCTCCCCAGCCTCGGCTCCCCAGCCTCGGCTCCCCAGCCTCGGCTCCCCAGCCTCGGCTCCCCAGCCTCGGCTCCCCAGCCTCGGCTCCCCAGCCTCGGCTCCCCAGCCTCGGCTCCCCAGCCTCGGCTCCCCAGCCTCGGCTCCCCAGCCTCGGCTCCCCAGCCTCGGCTCCCCAGCCTCGGCTCCCCAGCCTCGGCTCCCCAGCCTCAGCTCCCCAGCCTCAGCTCCCCAGCCCCAGCTCCCCAACCTCAGCTCCCCAGCCTCAGCTCCCCAGCCTCAGCTCCCCAGCCTCAGCTCCCCAGCCTCAGCTCCCCAGCCCCAGCTCCCCAGCCTCAGCTCCCCAGCCTCAGCTCCCCAGCCTCAGCTCCCCAGCCTCAGCTCCCCAGCCTCAGCTCCCCAGCCCCAGCTTCCCAGCAGCTGATAGGTTGCTGCCAGTAGGTTCTCTGAGGGGCCTGCTTCCCCTGCCCTTCATGCCTATCCTCTTCCCACTCATGCCTGATCCCCATCTCCACCTGGCCCTCTGCTTTTCGCGTGTCAGAAGAAGGGCTGGCGACACAAGGGCTGGCGGCACAAGGGTTGGTGGCAGCAGGCTTCTCTTCTCCCTTCCCCGATTCTTGCTTGTCCTCGCCACCCCCATGCCTGCTCTATGGCCCGCCCATCTCCTTCTCAGCCACGGCTCCGTGCCTGTCTGGAGGGGGAAGGATAGACGGCAGGGAAGGTGGGGTGGGGAAGGGGGAAGGGGGGGGGGGGGCGGGGGCACAGGGTAGGCTGCAACTGGTGCTGCTCTCCTCTGTCAATCCCGCCCTCTCCTTACTCCCCACTCACACCTGCTTTTCCCTCCCCCTAGCCTCCTGCTTTTCCCTCCCTAGCCTCCTGCTTTTCCCTCTCCCTAGCCTCCTGCTTTTCCCTCCCCCTAGCCTCCTGCTTTTCCCTCCCCCTAGCCTCCTGCTTTTCCCTCCCCCTAGCCTCCTGCTTTTCCCTCCCCCTAGCCTCCTGCTTTTCCCTCCCCCTAGCCTCCTGCTTTTACCTCCCCCTAGCCTCCTGCTTTTCCCTCCCCATGCCTGTCTCCACGTGCCTTTCTCCAAGCCTGTCTCCCCACGCCTGTCTCCCCATGCCTGTCTCCACGAGCCTGTCTCCCCATGTCTGTCTCCTGCCGAGCCTGACCCTGGCTGACGCATGGCCGAGGCTATGCAATGCCAGCGAGCACACCCATTTGCACTGCAGAAACTGATCACACCCCTAGAGCGGTCATAATAATTCCCACGCAGAATAAGAATCAGAAAATGCCGCTTTCTAGAGAAGTCTCAATGCCGTGCAAAAGCATCCGAGGCAGCAGAAGCGTGACATTCCAGCCCAATTGGTAAAGATGAGACAGCCCGATCCTCCCTGCTCAGGCTTAGGGTTTATGGTGCGTGGATTCTAAGCTTCACCCCTAAAAAGATTTAACTGGGCAGGGCAGGTGGGAGGAAACTCTGTATATCTTGGTGATTTCTTAGCATTGCCACAAGATGCTGTAATAGTCACCTGCGGGGTTTAGGGGCACCGGTGGTAACTGTTACAGCATCTTGTGTCTCTCGCTAGGCATGGATGCGTGTCGGGAAGGCTCGATGGGCGAGAAAATAGGTGTAGCCGCTTCTTCGAATCTGCCACCCAGCTCACATCTCCCATTCCTTTTGAGTCGACTTAAAAGTCACCTCGCTAGGCACGGGTGCGTGTCAGGAAGGCTGGGAAGGCTGGATGGGAGAGTATAGAGGCGTAGCAGCTTCTTCAAATCTGCCACCCAACTCACGTCTCCCATTCCTCCTGCCCCCATACCTCCCATCCCCATATCTCCAACTCCCATGCCCCCATCCCCAAGAGAGATGACTCTGACTCTTCCCCCACCTTCATCCGACACCCCTCGCCCCATTCCCTCCCATACCCTCCACCATACCGCTCGCAGCACTCAACTCTACCAGCTCAACAGGAAGCAGCACCTTAAACCATTGTCGGTTAAAACCCTGAGCCTCGAGGCAGCACCTCAAACCATTGTCAGCTAAAACCCTAAGCCTCGAGGCAGCACCTCAAACCACTGTTGGCTAAAACCCTGAGCCTCGAGGCAGCACCTCAAACCACTGTCGGCTAAAACCCTGAGCCTCGAGGCAGCACCTCAAACCATTGTCGGCTAAAAACCTAAACCTCGAGGCAGCACCTCAAACTATTGTTGGCTGAAACCCTCAGCCTCAAGGCAGCACCTCAAACCATCGTCGGCTAAAACCCTAAGCCTCGAGGCAGCACCTCAAACCATCGTCGGCTAAAACCCTCAGCCTGTTCGCAGCACCTCAAACCATTGCTGGCTGAAACCCTCAGCCTCGAGGCAGCACCTCAAACCCTCACTCAATCAAGAGTTTCATCTCCAGGCAACCAAGTCGGTTTGCACCCTCGGCCTCGAGGCAGCACCTCGATACCTTCATCTGCTTCCGTGCATCCCTGCTACAATCCCCACTCTCACCTCTCCCCTCCCTCGTCCCCCTCCTCCACCCCCATGTCTTCCATCACCCCCCTCTCAGCATGCAGCACAGCCAGCACACCAGGAGAAGGCACCTCCATTGCCTGTCCCACAAGCAGCCACTGGCGCTCCAGACTCTCACTCAATCCTCCCCCCCCCCCTCCCCCCCCTCCCCCCGCCGTAGCCCCCCTCCTCTCCCCCAATATCCACCGTCATCCCCCGCTCTGCATTCAACGCAGCCAGCATACCGTGAGAAGGTACCTCAGTTTTCCTCCTCTGCGTCTGAGCTTCCTCCATCATCCCTAGCATGCCAGGAGTAGGCACCTCGATCTCTTGCCCCACCAGCTGCCACTGGCACTCCATGCTCTCACTCACTCCTCTGCATCCCCTCCTCAACCCTCCCCTTCCTCAACCCCCTCCTCCTCATCCCTCCCCTTCCTCACCCCCCTCCGCCCCTCCCATTTCCTCCATCATCCCCAGCATGCCAGGAGAAGGCACCTCAATCTCCTTGCCCACCAGCTGACACTGGCACTCCGTGCTCTCACTCACTCCTCTGCATTCCCTCCTCATCCCTCCTCTCCCTCACCCCCCTCCTCCCCGCCCATATCCTCCATCATTCCCAGCATGCCAGGAGAAGGGACCTCGATCTCCTGCCCCACCATTTGCCACTGGCTCGTCCCACCTTGGAGAATCAGAGGGCTCGGGGACCCATTAGGTCCGGGCGTGATCCACATAGGTATGGCGCCCACGTCGATCCAAGAGCCCAGGCTCGGCAGGAACGTGCCTCTCTGAGGGCAGTCTATTAGTAGGGCACTGTCTGCTGCTTCGTCTCTTGCTGTGCCTGCTGCTGCTCCTGCTGCTCCCCCTGCCCCCCCTGCTCCTCCTGCTCCTCCTGCTTCTCCTGCTCCTCCTGCTCCTCCTGCTCCTCCTGCCTCCTGCTCCTCCTCCTAGCGTTACTGTTATGGGTGCAGCTGTTACAGGTGTTACGGTCCCGGCGGGTGGCGCAGCTGCTTCTGAAGCGTCTGCAGCCGTCCGCGCAGCAGCATGTGTCTGCTGCTGCTGGTGAGCCAAGTCTCTAGCGGCTGTTGCATACCTCCGCACTGCCCCCTGCACGCCCCTCACCTCGCCGGCTGTTCTGCTGCTGGGAGTCTTCGGTGGGCTCTCACTCCTCTCGTTCCCCTTCTCCGTTCCCCAAACCCCATGCTTCACCTCCTCTCCATCCTCACACACATTCTGCCCATCACCCATCCCTTTCCCTTCTCCCATCTCCTTCACAACCGGAGGGCTGCCACCAGTGCTGCTTTCCTCAGCCAACCCTGAATCCCCTGCGTTCTCCCTCTCACTCCCACCCCCTCCCGAGCCTGACCGTGGCCGAGGCTCGGCCGAGCCAAAAAAGGCTTGAGTTCCCAGAGCTGCTAGTGTCGCTCCTGCTGCTGCTGTTCCTCCGCCTCCTCCTCCTCCTGCTGCTGCTAGTTCTGCCGCAAGCTCTGCTGCCACTGCTGTTGCTGCTGCTAATGCTTCTTCTGCTCTTTGCCTCAATGGGCTTACCGCTGCTCCCCCTCCTCCTCCTCCTCCACCTTCGGCTCCTTCCCCACCGCTCCCACCTCCAGACGCAGCAGCAGTACCACCACTACCACTACCACTAGCACCAGCACCACCAGCACCACCAGCCCCACCAGCACCACCCGCACTACCACTACCACCAACACCAGCACCACCACTACCACCAGCACCCGCAGCACCATCCGTGCTACTACCACCACCACCAGCACCAACAGCACCACCCGCATGACCACCACCACCAGCACCATCAGCAGCAGCACCACCACCAGCACTACCACCACTGCCGCCGTTGTTGCCATGTGCATGATCCTCTGCACTTCCAGACCGAGGGGCAGGCAGCAGCTGTAGTGGGGAGGGCGCAGCCACGGCATCAATAGCTGTAGCAGCAGCTGTAACGGCAGCAGCAGCAGGGGACGTTCCACTGAGTGCCGGCGGCGGCGACCCGACACCCGCCATGGAACCACCTGCATCCACCCCCCCCATAGCATCATGCACGATGGTGATGGTGACGGGCCGGGGCGGTGGCTTGGCGTGGTTATGCTCCGACATATACTTAATCCTCCAGTTAGACGGATTCTCATTGCACCGCTCAGCCCATTTCTTAGCCGTGCAGGCCACCCCCGGGCTCTTGTGCGCACACCGGAAATAGTTTCTCGGGTAGAGCTGCCCGAGGGTGGCTTTCTGCCCATATTTTCGCCACTCCCACCCGTCCGGTGGAATTTCGGAGATGGCTGGTTTGGCTGGGGCTCGCTGCCGCTTATGGGGAACAAGTATCTGGCCGTCTGACTCCTCCTCTGCTGCTCTTTTCCGTTCAGTCTCACTTCCATGTCCCGTCACACCAGTTCGCAGAAACCCACCAGCAGCAGCACCATCAGCACCATCACCATCACCCCCCACACCACCGCTGGCAGTTCCAGTGGCTGCCCCAGGACGGTTGGTTCTAGGGTGAGGGTGGTCTGGTGTGTGCAGGCTGTCTGTTGCTGCTGCTGCTGCTGCTGCCGCAAAGCTGAACCCGCTGCCGCTGCCACCGCTGCCGCTGAAATCCCCCTGGTTCGTTGCCAGTCCTTCCCCCCTCACTCCGCCCATTCCCTCCGCCCCTCCCACTCCTCCTGCTAGCTTCATTCCCCCTTCCCCCCCCACCCGCCCTTCTCCCCCATCCCCCAGGAAAGCCAGAGCTTGTCTTATGAGCCCATCTCCTATTGCTGCCTCCAGTCTTACCTGTGCCGCCAATTCATCCTCTCCCTCCACCGCCCCTCCGGATCCACCAGCCCCAGCATCGGCAGCAGCACCACCAGCAGCACCAAAAGCAGCAGCCACACCCCCACTTACGCTCCCAATGGCCCCTCCTGCAGCAGCCGCCCCACTTGGTGCGCCAGGCAGAGTAATCCCCCCAGGTAAACCCTGGAACCAGTGTGCGTATGCTGCCGTATGCGACGGGTCTGGCAGCACATGGGCTCCCATCGGCATGGGAGCGCGGGCGCTTCCAGTGGCGGCTGTTAAATTCATCTGGGAGACGTTTCCCGTGGCATGTGGCAGGCTCATGTGGCCAGCGGCGCTCCCAGTGGCTGCAGCCAGGTTCATGTGGTTTTGTGTGAAGTGGTTGTGGAGGTTCCAGTCAAGTGGCCGATCGTGCTGCCCATGGTTTGTGGCTTGCCCATGCTGCTGTGCTCCTGCAGCGGCTGCTGCTGCTGCTGCGGCTCCTGCTGCTGCTGCTAGTGCTGGTGTCAATGGGGATGGTTGTCCCGGTGTGGCTGTAGCTGTACCTGCTGCCGCTACAGCAGCGGCGGCGGCGGCGGTGGGGGCTGCATCTCTGCCGTGACCAAAAGCATCGCCACAAGCCACACCGCCTCCTACGATGGACGACGAGCCAAGGAGAGTCTGACACGTGGCGAGCGATGAGATGGCAGATTCTACTAGCTCTTGAGCCTCTGTCACGTCGCTGGTAGGAATCGGGGTTTGGGGGGCAACGGTGTGAGGAAATGTGCAGAGAGAGAGAGAGAGAGAGAGAGAGAGAGAGAGAGAGAGAGAGAGAGAGAGAGAGAGAGAGAGGGGGGGGAGAGAGAGAGAGAGAGAGAGAGAGAGAGAGAGAGAGAGAGAGAGAGAGAGAGAGAGAGAGAGAGAGAGAGAGAGAGAGAGGAAGGAAAAAAAAGTGGTATTTTCCTCTTTAAAGCGCGCCGTCTAGGTTTCGCAAAAACGCAGCATCTGCTAAACAATTGGAAACCGGTAACCTGAACGGAGAAGACGAAAAGCTAGAGCACGCTGGGTTGATACAAGATAAGGCTTGGGAGGTTGGAAAGGTTTGGAAGTTTGGGCTGAAGGTTTGGCATGTTCGTCGGAGGCTTGGAAAGTTTGGCACGGTTCGATTGGTTGGGAAGGTTAGGTAGTTTGTTGCAGCCTCGAGGCCACGTGGCAGCGGCATCATCGCTTTGGGGAAATAGTGGTACATTTTTGCCTGAAAATTTAAAACCAACAAAAAAGTGACGTATTCTCACCTTCCTAGCGCCTGGTCAAAGTCGTGATCGACGAGGTCAACGCCGCGTTTGGCGATTTCGACGCGTAGAACCATGGTGTCGGCGTGCTTTAAGAGCACCTTGGCGTGCGAATGCGCCTGCCGCGCGGCGTCCTGCAGCCGTCGGCACAGAACGCCCAACGACTCCAGCTGCACCTCCATGGTCGGCGAATCATCGTCGTCCGTCGACATTGTTTTCTTGATGTGCTCGGTTTGGGACTGCGTGTCAGCGAAGTTCGCTGCTATTCCGGCAATTAATTGTGATCCAGGTGCAATGTGGGAAAAAAAAAAACGTTAGGGACGACTAGTACTCTCTAGCCGGCAGCGTTAGGGTTTCCTCTCAAACTCAGACTGAGGTTGTGGAATTTAGTTGGACGGAGTAGAGTGGCTGTGTGTACGATTTGTTGGGAGATGCTTTTCCACAGGTTTCTTGAAGGCCAATGCTAGAAATCTCGCCAGTGCCCATTGAGCCAATCTGTTCTTGGTTCTCTGTTCTGTCTGAAACTGTCCTTGCCGGGACTAGTGCTGTAAATAGACAGCTTTGTCTGTTGCCAGAGGTGTGAAATGATGGTGCACCCGATCCTGCGTGGGCCATGCCAACACAAATTTTATGCTGCTGCGGCTGCTTTTATTGGTTCGTTGGACGCAATTTTATTCATTTTGCCAGGACGAGGTGATTTCGTGCGGCGAAACCTGGCCGGGACTGCCCGGACGCGCTACGACTGGCACGTTTGCGAAGGGAGGCTAGGTGTTGAGTGGCTTGGCAGGGCGTGCGTGGGTCGATTTGGCATTCGCTAATCGCGTGCAGCGTTGATCGGCTCAATGATGGGAGCCAATGGAACGCCAAGCTGAGCAACGAAATCGGCACCCATTGGCTCAGGAGGGTCTGCCTCACAACCCAAACCAGGTAAGCGGTGGGTAATCGGTGGGTTACCAGCTAACGTCGACTTCGAGGGTCTTCGGCAAGACGACTTGCTGGAATGAAGTTGGTAGGTTAGCAAGACCTGGACGACGACCGTGAACAACACCGGCAAGTTTGACACTCGTGTATTCCCGGCAGGAAAGAAACACTGTTGTTTGCTGCTGCGAGGGCGAGCAGACAGTAGGAAGATCTGCTTACTGTGCTAAAACTTATGGTTTTTATTGTAAACCTTTTTCTTTGTGCCTTCGAGGCTTCGGGAGTGTCGTGCTTCACTTTAGCTGAACTTGTAACTGGTTTGTGTGGGTACACTGTTGGAACTTACCAAGTGTATCGAAAAAAATGGATGTTTTCGAGTGAAGTGTACAGAGGCCAGAAACGGTGTACAGACATGTTCTGTATACAGAGAGAACCTGCCAGGAACAGTGACCTTTGCTGGGGAGGTTGAGAAACGGTCAGCAGTGTCTGGCGAACTCCCCAACTTGTCAGGAGGAGTCAGGGGTCAAGAGGGACGAAAATTCTACACGAACGAAATCCAGCAACGGCGTTGACCTAGTCAACGCAAGTGCTTGAAAGAAACCAAGAGAGCCGCCCCACCGATGTTGAACATGGCCTGACCTGAAGTGACATGAAGTGGCAGAGCTAACCCAAGCACGTGCGAGACAGAGACAGCTTTCCAAAATGGTTTTGTGCTGGCCCGGAGAAGGGTACAGGTTGGTGAAAAATAGAATATGTGAGGGTATTTATTTCTGACGTATCCAAGCATAAACGCATGTAGTCTGCAAACTAAAACGTGAATAATTTGGTTTCTGCTGGTAACTTCTTGCTCGGTATGATGTTCCCTTTTAGGACTAAGGCACATAATCTGGCAGCAATATGCCTTGTAAACACATGGTTTCTGTGTTTCCTCTTTTATCGGCCACCGTAAGGAAATAGTATTTCCTTATCACTGGTTTTAGTTCCGTAATCAGCCGGATATAGGCGCATATTTGCTTATATGGATTAGGTTCTGTTGGGCTGAGAAAAGCCCTAGGATCTTTTCAGAGACTAAGTCCCACTTGCATGAAATGCTTGAGTAGTGCAGCGGAAGAGTTGAGTAGTTGAACACTTCCGCTAGTATGTGAGAGCAAGTGATTGACTAAAAAAGGCAAGCATACAGGAATATATAGAAATAGGAAATAGAGCAGTTGTAGAATACAGTTGAAGAAACGGTTATCGAGTCGCACATCGACTCGATCGTTGGTTCGGTTACCATCCTTGCAGTCGCAACGGTCGGTCGCAACCTCCAGTTGCAACCCTTCGAGTCCCTTCGTCCTTTCGTGTTCTTTCGTCCAACCTCCTCGTGTAACCTCCGTTGACTCGTGTACTCGATACGACATTTCTTCGAGTGTAGTGTTACACTCAGAAACGCTTAAGTCTTCTGGGTATTTCCAACAAGTTCAAAAACCAGAATGCATTTGTAATTGAATAAAAGATATATGCCCATGCGCTAATACGAAGGACCATACGGAAAAATAATTTGAACACACCAAAATATAGCTGGGTTGATTTGGGTTCCAATGCATCTGTCTTCAAAAGGGGACGCGCAGAAATATCGCGCGAAATATCTGGCGAAAGTTTCGCCAACACAACTATGCTGGGAAGGCAGGGTATGGACCAATCATAGGCAAGACAGTGATCGGGAAACGCATGAATCTGGCTGGCGAGGAGCTTGGGAGCAGGGCTGTCGATTGGTTTGGGACCAATACTTGGGTGGCTGAGGTCCCCCAAAAACAGCCCTGAAATTTCCAGAAAGCGACCGAACTGAGCCCTGAAGCGTACGAGCTGGGGTCCAAACCAGAACTTAAAATCAGGGCTACGTCAGAGTCTGTACTTTGTCGGAGAGAGAAAAAAAACTTCGTAATCGTACATCAGGATAGGCAATGTGCTGAGTGGGGAGGCCAGCCTATTTTCGTATGAGAATTTGTGTGCCAAATTTGTTAGTAGTGCACATTTCTCAGTTATTCATAGGTGTCACGGACTTGGCCAATTTCTGGCTGGTTTGGAGGACTTAGAGGAATTTTCTGGCTGGGGGGATTCTCTGGGGGTGCGAGGGGTGTGGGAGGAATGTCTCTGGGTGTGAGGGACTTCGACGAATTTTCAGAGTTCGGGTGGGATGTGGAAGGGGTGTCTCTGGTTTGGAGGACTTAGCCAAATTATACTAGCCGAAGAGGAAGGTGGGGTGGTGTGGGTGGGCGAGGAAGGTATGCCTAGGTCAGGGTATGTCTAGACCCCGTTACGAAAAATCAGGGAAAGGCCTCAACTCCGCTCTGAACGAATCCGGGAAAGGGCCGAACGAAACCCTTAACCATCACAGGCTAGTCCCGAATCAAACCCGGAAAAGTCGGACCCTGACGGCCGGCTTACCCGGAATGTTCAGGGCATTAAGGGCATTTGCCATTGAATCGACAGGCCTGCTTGGGAGGGGTGTGAGAGGGCTGCAGGAGGTTTGGCACAGAGTCTTGGTATGGAAGTTTCACAATTCTCCTGCTTTTTAATAGTAATGCAATGCGCTTATAGGGAATAAGTTTTCTAAAAGAAATGTGCCCTTGTAATGAAATAACGGATATAAGCGCGTTTGCACTCTATAAGCCCGCTGGGCTTAATAAATGGTCGCGCCTATATCTGGGTGATTATGGTAGTAAGCCCTACATTACTATCATGGGGTTTCCGCGTAGCTTTGCCACGAAATTCAAATCGCGGTACCCAAATGTGGCGTCCTAACGAGCCGCATGCATCTTGTCCGCCTTGCTGTTTCATGCCTAGATCTGGGAGCTTCGCGCCAATTTACGAACCATACGTCGCAGCTCTGCCGAGCCATGACCTTGTGCTCTAGGCTATCTATATCCATGCTCCCTGCTGTTTTAATGTTGCCTCAGTTGTATTGTTTCCTCGTTACTCAATCGTTCGACGCACGCTCTTTGCGCTGCATTACACCTGGCCATCACAGCCAACACTGCTGCAAGACCGACACTTAGGGAGGCTGACGCCATTCATATCCGCTGTCTAGGTAATATTTATTGATAATAACATATAGCCACGACTATGTTCGCAGTGCCAGCGTGCCAAAAGCCGCCCAAAACTTCTGTGAAATTGTGGATCAGTCGGCGTCTACCACCATGACTCTTGAAGAAAGGGCAGAAGCACTTGAAGTCCGTCTTACTTACGAGTTGTACCAGTAGGAGTTGGCACGTCTGCGAGCTGAAACATCCCAAGTTGAATCTAAGATATCTGCACTTTCGAGCCGACTGCCTCAGTACGACATAACACGATTTCACCAACGACAAACCGAGGGCGACAGGAGCAAGTAACCCAGTAGCTTTCCAAAATACCTTGTGGTAATCTACAACCACATGCGGCTTTGCCTGAGGGTTCGACGAACAACCCGCCACCGGCTATTGGACGAGCGGAAGTTGCCCGAGGGTTCGACGAACAACCCGCCACTGGCTATAGGGATGAACGTACATCTGCCGCCCCCAATTACCTCTCCAACTGGCCTGCAAACTGCAAACATCCATATTGCGCTGAGAATCAACATCAATATGGCTCTGAGAATTCTCAAGACCCAGAGGCCGCCCACGTCGACCCGAGCCAGCGTGGAAGTTTGTCCGTCAGCGGGTGAATCTTTCACCTGAATGTTTTTTACAACTGCAACCTCGTTAGCGACGACGCACAAAAAATCCGATTCGCCGTGTCGCTCCCAGGTGGATCGGCTATGGATTGGTGGCAGCAGCTAGTTCAGTCGCAGGAGCCGGACACGATGCCGCGAGTAATCGGGCGTTTTCGCACAACCAATCACTGGGCTGGACGTTATTGCAAGATGGATGAGTACAGCACATGGCAATCGTGGTTCACGGGAATTCGTCGCCGCTTCGAATATGTCAATGCAAGCAGTCAAGCGAGCGGCCGCCTTCGCACGTGGCGCCAACTCGGATCGGTCCAGAACTACACCAGCAGGTTAAAAAATTTATGCGACTAGGTTGGCTACATTCACCCTTATGAGAAATTCGACAAATACATCGGGGGACTTCAACCAGATCTGCGCAGAGAACTACAAGTAAGAGAAATTACGGGTTTGATGGAGACGCAGAGGGTTGCGGAGCGGTTGGATTCGTTCTTCAAGCCAAGGGCGAGTTCCAATGACGGAAGTCGCACTCGAGGACCAATCGAGCGTGCCACTGTCATAGCATCGAGCTCAGTAGTTACAACTATTAAGGGTACTTGTTTCGGGTGTAATAGGCCGGGACACTACAAGTCATAATGCCTTTAGGAGCGAAAGAAGCGGAATCAGGGCCAGGGGAGTTCCGCGACCAACGGAATCAGTAGTTAACGGGCTCCATGGACAGAGCAGTGCACACCATCACTCTCATATAGTCACACTTTGTGCGCCGGGTCCTTCAAAAGTTCGGTCTTCGGTTCTCCTCCGCACAGCCAACACCTCTGCCGGTAGACCACAAGCTCTCTGCTCCAGTCCCTGACGAGTCAGTTGAGCCCGGTGGTCC